TGGCCATTGATTTTTTCTCTTGTGTAAAATGGCTTTTTTCTGTCTGGGGTTCTTTCTTGCCTGTTTATCTCTTGGGTTGTTGGCTTCCTTATTTTTAAAATAAGGCTGTGAATTCCTCAACTATAAAGACCAAGAAATGGCTTGTGTACACATACCAAGATAAATAAATGTATGCATAACATGATAAATACACGTGCAGCCGTGGGGAAATAAATTCTTTTTAATTTTTATATTTATTTATTATTTTCTTTTTTTTTTTTTTTGACCTGGAGTCTCACTCTGTAGCCCAGACTGGAGTGCAGTGGCCGCTGCCGGCCACCGCAGCCTCGACCTGCTGGGCGCCGGCGATCCTTCAGCCTCAGCCTTCCTAGTGGCCGGAATTACAGGCATGCGCTACCACGCCCGGCTGATTTTTTGATTTATTGTAGAGATGAGGTCTCGCCAAGTTGCCCAGGCGGTCTCGAACCCTCAGGCTTGGGCAATCCTCTCACCTCAGCCTCCCAAGGCGCGGGATTACAGGTTGAGCCACCGAGCCCGGCTCTTATTTATTATTTTCTATTTGGATTCAAGGGGTACTTGTGCAGGTTTGTTACATAGGGATATTGCATGTTGGTGAGATTTGGTCTTCTACTGAGCCTGTCACACAAGTGGTGAACATAGTACCCAGTAAGTAGTTCTCAGACCTTACTCCTCCCTCTCCCCTTTAGAAGTTCTTCAGTCTCTCTTGTTCCTCTTTAGTGCCTGTGTGCGTACAGTGTTTAACTCCCGTCTAAACACTGGGAGAACATATGATATTATGTTTTCTGTTTCTGTGATCGTTTACTCAGGATGATCGTCTCCAGCTGCATCCATTTTGCTGCAAAGGACATGTTTTTTTTCTTTTTATGGCGGCGTGGTATTCCATGGTGTGTGTGTACTATATTTTCCTTATCCAATCCACCATGGATGGGCACCTACACTGGTTCCATCTTGTTGCTATTGTGGGTAGTGCTGCGATAAACATGCCTGTGCAAGTATCTTTTTAGTAGAGTGATTTGTGCACCTTTGGGTATATACCCACTAGTGGTCGAGTAGTAAGTCTATTTTTAGTTCTTTGAGAAATCTCCGGACTGCTTAGAGAAATAAGTTTTAAGTTTTCTGTACCAAAGTTTGCTGCAGAACTGATACCTGAAGAATCACTTGGAGCCTTGTTAAAAAATAGATTCCTATGTCCCATCATTGACCCACTCAAACAAAATGAACTCAAGTGACTTTTAAGTTTGAGATCCATGAATTTGAACAATGAACTTTTTTTCCATAGTAAATATGCAACAGGAAGAAAATATAATCAAATGTTAGCAGTGTGTTGGATCTTTTTGTATTTTTTGTTTTGATACAATGCAAATTTGAACAGTGAACATTTATTATTATTTAATATTAGTATCAAAAAGATTTACTTCTGAGAGAACCTTTAGGATCACTTGTGTGGGTGCAGGAATATTTTTACTTGCAATTTATATGCAATTTTTTCTTACTTTTCTATGCAATTTATGGGTAATTGCATAATTGCAATAACCAATGCAGAAGAAATGACTGTGCTTCATTTATGAAATGAATGAGCTGCCAAGTACAAGCATCTGAGGTCGGGTCTCATTGCTGAGACTATTTAAGGGAGATTCTCAGATAATCCATATCAATGAGTTGTTTTGCCTGAGCTTCCTGCATAAATAAGTGTAGTTGCTTTGTCTTAATTAAGCAGAATTGATTACACATGCTGTGGTTACTCAGACTAGGAAATATTTTAAAAATATTTTCTCACTTTTTTCTTTAACTGGAGAATATATCACATAGCCAAAGAAGATGATCTAATCTAATCTATCTGCATTTTTTAAAGATAGCAATGAAACAAACATATATCATCCCACCCATGGCTGCATGTTCAGATGTACATGTTGCAGCATGTGAATAGCATGCCTGGAGCTGTGTGCACAACCTGCAGGATCCTACAAAGTAGCCCTGGCCCTACCACTGAGCTTAGAAAATAGAGTATTGCTGTATCTTTAAGCCCCTCATATACCCTCCTTACTCTACCACTCTGAGGTAAACACTATCTTGAATTTTGTATCATTCCATTACATTAAAAGAAATAATTTTAGAGCAAGTTATACCCCTAAACAATAGTTTTGTCTATATTTTTTTAATTAAAAAATTTTTTTAAGAATAGGTTCTCATTATATTACCCAGGCTGGTCTCAAACTCCTGTACTCAAGGGATTTCCCCTTTGGCTTCCTAAAGCACTGGGATTACAGGCATGAGCCATCACATCTGGCTTAAAATTTATCTTTGAAAGTAAGCAATCATACTTAGACTTTCTTCAGTTAATTTTTATTTATGTCTTGATATTGTTTTGAGGATTCATCACTATTGGTACAAGTACCTGTGGCTCACTAGTTCACTTTGCTCTGTAGTATTAAATCACATAAATATCCAACTTATTAGCTTATTGTATTGTTACCTGATTATTTACATAATTTCCTGTTTTGCTATTAAAAATTAGACCGCTATGAACATTCATATGTCTTTCTGCTGGTGCATCTTTGCAAGATATTCTTTTAGGGAGTATAATCAGGAGTAGAACTTCTGGCTGATGGGGTCTCTGCACAGTCACTGTTGTCAAGGGATGCAAGATTGCTTTTCCAAGTGACTAAACTGATTTACACACTCCACAGCAATGATGATCATCTTTTTTCAATTTGTGCCAGTCTGGTGGGTAGCTAGTGTTATCTCAGTACTTATCCCTGGCTAGTAATGAGATTGAGCATGTTTTCCTTTATTGGCCATTGATTTTTCCTTGTATAAAATGACTTTTTCTGTCTGGGGTTCTTTCTTGCCTGTTTTTCTCTTGGATTGTTGGTTTCCTTATTTTTAAAGTAATTGCTGGGAATTCTTTGTATATTGTATACTATTCTCCTCTATTAGAAAGTATATGAAGGGGTCTCCCAAAAAACTGGAATTTATTTACAAAAAATTACATATTTATTCTTACATGTTTAAACTTCAGTCATCTTCAAAGTACTCTCTGTTTGATGCAATATACCCATCGAGATGCTTTTTTTCACTGCCCCAGACGGTTTTTGAACTTGTCCATTTTGATGTCTTGTAGTGTTTCTGTTGTTTTTTGTTTCTTCTCTTCCACATTAACAAAACTTAGAGAACTTTTTCATCTGGGGGGAAAAAAAGGCTCTCGGAGCAAGATCGGGTAAATAGCGAAGGTGGGGCATGGGGGTTATGCCGTTTTTTTGGTCAAAAACCGCTGAACATTCAGCTAAGTTATGTTGTTCATGTGAATCTCCCACCATGAAATGGGAAAATGCATTGAAAGAATCTCCAAAAAAAAAAAAAATTGTCTGAAGCTGAACGCAGCCTCTCACAACCATGCTAGCTGGTACACTGCTGCCGATGGGTTCCTAGAACACTCACCCAGCGGGGAAGCCTGTACTACAAGGGGATTGCTCCCCCAAAATGATTCTGTTTCTCGGGGGTCCCCTCTCATATTTATCAACAAGTACATTTCTAAATATGTAGTATGATTATCAACTTTTTAATTTATCTTTGTACTTTCCATAGATCTTTAGTAAAGTAATATTATTAATTTAATTGTTGAATTTATCTCTATTTATGATTTATACCTTCTATTTCTTGTTTAATAATCTTTTTCTCACTTGAGATTTCAAGGATGGTTTTCCTATAATTTAAACTTTAAAGCTTTTGCCTTTCATAACTATTTTATTAAGTTATCAGGAATTGAATTTTAAATATGGTGTTTACAATATTTTATTTCATTAAAAAGTTTTCTCATTTAAATATTTAAAAGCAATATGTTCTTAAAACAAAAAATATACAAAATTAAATTTGCCTTCTATTCATGATCTCCAATTTTCTTTTTCTGTTAAAAATGGTACTTTTAGCCAGGCTCGGTGGCTCAGCCTGTAATCCCGCGCCTTTGGGAGACTGAGGAGAGTGGATTGCCTGAGCCCGCGGGTTCGAGACCCGCCTGGGCAGGCGAGACCCCATCTCTACAATAAATCAAAAAATGAGCCAGGCGTGGTAGTGCGCACCTGTAATTCTGGCTACTCGGAAGGCTGAGGCGGAAGGATCGCCAGAGCCCAGCAGGTCGAGGCTGCGGTGGCCGAGAGGGCCACTGCACTACAGTCTGGGCGACAGAGTGAGACTCCAACTCAAAAAAAACAAAAAAACAAAAAAACAAAACAAAACAAAAAAATTGTACTTTTTTCTTCTAAAGGAGGCAAAAAATTAGTTCTTATCTCTCTAGGAAATTATTTAATCTTATCATTTTCTTGGCAATATTATAAAAATTATGAGAAAATACTCTTTAAGAACGTATAAAATTTTGGCTGGGCCTGGTAGCTTGTGCCTGTAATCCCAGGACTTTGGGAGGCTGAGGTGGGAGGATTGAATGAGCCCAGAAGTTTAAGACTAGCCGAGGCAACATAGTAAGACCGCCTCTCTACAAAAAATAAAAAAATTATCTGGATGTGGTGGTGCATGCCTGTTGCCCCAGGTACATGGGAGGCTAAGGCAGGAGGCTCGCCTAAGCCCAAGAGATCAAAGCTGCAGGGAGCCCTTATCTTGCCACTGCACTCCAGTCCAGGCGACAGAGTGAGATCCCAACTCAAAAAAAATAATAATAATTAAGTATAAAAGTTTGAGGGCTTTTTCTTGCTTAAATGAGATTTTAAGACTCATGATTTTTTCATGTGACATTAAATGTGACTTTCTTAAGCAGAAGTTAAATTAGAGGCATCTGATGTGGTTATAGCTCTTTTATTTAAGTTTTTTGACAACCATGAAATAAGTGCGGTTTAATGTTTTTAACACTGGAGACACAAATTTTAAAATGTAAAACGTAAGGGAAAAAATTGAATGTGAGTATATGTTGTGACTTATTCAGATGTATGATTAACTGATTCTCTTCATCCTTATGAATGGTCTGTTTTCAGGGGTCCTGCCCGAGCAAGAACCATGGCTTATTTTGGGGAAGGAAAAGGACCCATTCACATGGATAATGTGAAGTGTACAGGAAATGAGAGGTCCTTGGCTGACTGTATCAAGCAAGATATTGGAAGACACAACTGCCGCCACAGTGAAGATGCAGGAGTTATTTGTGATTATTTTGGCAAAAAAGCATCAGGTAACAGTAATAAAGGTAAGTTACCTTCTGGGGCCAGAAACAAATCAAAGAATACTCATCCCCACTTCTTTACTACAAGCAGTACTTTGATAACAAAAGGAACAAGAATGTATATAGGCCCTTGTTACTTGTGTTGGTATTCAAGCTTGCCAAGGTGAAGTCGACAGGGAGAGCAATGTTCAGGGGTAGAAGTGGATTTATAGGGCCTTGAAATCTTTGAGATTATTTCTTTTTACATTCTCAGACATTTCTGTATTTCCTTCTTTAGATGTAATAAAGTTGTAGCTGGTTTTGCTATCCTTGAAGACTCAGAATTGATATTTACTTCATAAAAAGGAAAGAGGCCAGGCTCAGTGGCTCATGCCTGTAATCCCAGCATTTTGGTAAGCTGGAACAGGAGGACTGCTTGAGGCCAGAAGTTTGTGACCAGCCTGGGCAACATCATGAGACACTATCTCTAAAAAAAAAAAAAAGAAAGAAAAAATTAGCCAGACGTGGTGGCACATGCCTCAAGTCCTAGCTGCTTGGGAGGCTGAGACGAAGCCCAGGAGGTCGAGGTTGCAGTGAGTTAGGATTGTGCTACTGCACTCCAGCCTAGGTGACAGAGTGAGACCTTGTCTCTAAAAGAAAGAAAAGAAATGAAAATATGGACAGGAATCAAACAAACGCACCTTTTCACTTCACTCTTACTAATATTTTAAACACCGGAGATAATTTTTACAATGAATTTCAAAAAGAAAATTTTCTTTTACAGATGTTATTCTCTGAAATGTAAATAAACATTTAAGGAAAATGAGAAGTAATCTTTTAGTATGGTAGAGTAAATAGATATTTCATACTTCAAATTAATAGAATTCTTGAAAGCTCTGAGTATATATTTAGGAAACAAATTCTTCTTTAAATAAGTGAATGAGAGAAGTAGCTATTTTACAGAAATCTGTGGTTATAAAAAGAATAATAATTTTTTTATCTGGATTGAAACTTCATGGCTTTGAGGCATTGGATTTTGTTAAGATCAAGTGTATCAATATTTGAGTATTCTCGTTTTGTATCATTTTTTTAGTAACTGACAAAGGCAGTGCAATAAGTTTATGGATGCTGTTAATATGATTCTTCCTATCTGAAAGGCTTTTGAATGTGGAAAGAACACTTACAACTCTTTTGTGCTTGTTTTATTTTGGATTGTTTTATTATAAATATAATATATACATACGACTTTCTCTCTATATATTACTATATATATTATCTCTCTGTCTCTCTCTGTCTACATAAAACTTTACCAAGTCATATGACTTGGTAAGCCAGTTTTCCCTAAATCCTGATTATAACTTAATTTATTCAATTCACTTCAGTAATTTAAACTACAGTTACAAACTGAACATAACTGATTCTTTGGATTATGTCAAACTTCTTAGGCAGTTGAAAAACAAAAAAATTAAATAATTGTAAAATGTTTTACTACACTTCTATATAAACCTATTCTAAAATATGAAATACCATGTTTATTTCTTTATTGTTTATATGTTTGTTTTTATGCTTTTCTAGAATTGTAGCAATACTTATTTTGGTATCTTTCCATGGCAATGCTACCATACCTCAAGTAACAACATAGACTAGCTAGATTACAGAATCGGTTTATTAACAGTTGATTTTATGCTGAAGCTCAGGACCTAGTGACTTCCATAAGGTGATTCAAACGCAAGCCATTGGTTATGGTCATCTGATGGGCTTTTTAAAATAAATGAACCTCATTTTGCTTTTTAATTTTTTCTAACTGTATGGCTTTAAATAGAGTTTACTTTCCTGCATCCTGGTGTTTTGCCTCAGGATGATATAAACTTTAAGTTGTGCTTGCTCAGTGTTGCATCATTCCTTTTCTTGGCTTCGTATACATTAACCGGACTTGGAACATTTATTGGAAACTTATGTTTTTTCTGATATCTTATAATTTGCAGTGTCATCTAGAGGCCTCATATTCCAAGAGATGAAGGTTAAAATTTGACAACATGCCTCTGAGATCATTTGGCAAATTAACCATATTGATACACATTGTTGAACCCTTTTCTCCATCAAGAAGTAACTATTGCTGATTCCCTGCTAGGCTCCCTTCTACCTGGTTGTTATGGGAAATCATTAGTGCTTGTTAGGTCTTCCTGTACTTGCCACATTCCCACCCTTCTCTTCTTACACAAATAGATAAACAATGCATATCTATACTTTATACACATATACTTAACCAAAGAAATAAAGTACCTATGTATACATTCTTCTACTTCCTAAGATTATTTTAAAAATTAGTCACACCTATTATATTTGTCCTTCTTTTGCATGCCACCTTTTCTTATATTTTTAATTTAAGTTCTCTCTTTTGTATGTTCTTGACAAGTCTGTTACCTTGAGAGGTTTGACAATATACCCTTAAATACAGTTGACCACTTAATTTGGCTTAGCAAACCTTTTCCATGTGTTAATACACTGAGTAAATGTAAATTCAGATCAGAATTCTATCCTGGGAATGTGCTTTGCTTTTCTGAGTAACATTTTATATATGTCTTGAAACAGTGTTGTATGTGGAAAGTAAGTATTTTAGTCCATTACTGGCTTTGCAGTTCTTTTATTTTGTTTAATGTTCCTAAATTCCAGAACAGCTTCCATAATCAGAAGGAGATTCCGGTACCTACAAGGGTGATGTATAGCCCAGGCCACCTCAGTAGCCCTTGAGCCCCTCACAGCTGAAGGATAAGCAACGTCATAAAGTTACAAATTATTGTTTTTTGGTCAAATAAGAAAACTTTATTTTTATTATAGGAAAAATTACCCTATAATTTGCAGAATAAAAGCTTTTTTTTTTTTTTTGCTTCCCACATCTGTAGGATGTGTATATCTTTGAAGTTATAGGATGCTGTAGGATTCTTGTTTGCCTTATGGGAGTTACAGGATGTCAATGAATATTATAATAAGTTATAGGATGGTATAGGAAGTCATAGGATGGGCCAAAAGTTAGGAGAATTGAGTTTAATAGGAGTCCCAGGGAGGTAGACAGAATCTGACCAGAGGAAATGCCAGAGTGACACCTGGAGATCTCTCAGAAACGGACATGATATTAGTTTCCAGTTGCTGCTGTAGCAAATTTCCACCAACTAGTGGCTTAAAACAATGCAAATGTATTATCTAACAGTTTCTAACAGTCAAAAGTCTGGGTGGGCTGGGCTAGGTACTCAATTTAGGATCTCACAATACCAAAGTCAAGGTCTTGCGGGGGCTGGATTTTTTACCCAAGGTGTTGGGAAGAATCCATCTCCAAGCTCATTCATGTTGCTAGACAGATGTAGATGTAGTTCCTGGCAGTTGTAGAACTAAAGTCTCTCATTCCTTGCTGCTGTAAGCTGGGGGAGCAGTTTTTGCTCTTAGAAGCTTCTCAAGGTTTTTCTTGTGCTTTCCATGTGGTCCCCTTCAGCAGTAGCAGCAGATTCCCTTTTATGCTTTAAATTTGTCTGTCTTGTCTCATATCTGTCTGATTCCAGAAAGTTCTCTAAATAAAAACATTTTAAAATAGATGAGGAAGCATTTTACCCAAGGTGTTGGGTAAAAAAAAACTTATATTTTTACCCCTCCATCAGCAATATGATAATTTAATTAATGACCTCTTTCTGCTTCAGGGTCTCTCTCATCTGTTTGTGGCTTGAGATTACTACACCGTCGGCAGAAGCGTATCATTGGTGGGAAAAATTCTTTAAGGTAGCAATCTTTTCAAAGGAGATTTTTTTCATACTACAGAATTATTTATACTCATACAGTGTTATAAACTGGGGACATTATTTAAGGGCTTTGTTTTACTCATTTTGTTTTATAAACAAGAGAAAGATTACACTGATAATTTCACTGTCATTCTCCCCTATGTTTACTTTATATAGACCATGTTCTTGTGCTCCTAGCTAATGATTTAAGAAATTAGATGTGTTGCTGAAAAGGTTATGTGGCAGAAACAAAATAGTTTAACAGGAGACCTTAACAAAATGGACAACTACAAAGTTTCATCCAACTTAGAATATATTTGTTTCCGATTTGATACATTTTAATATAAATGTTTTGTTTGTTGAACTTACTAATAGAAAACCAGCACTTTGCTTATTGAATATTTCTTCAGACTGGTCAGGTAAGGTAGAGTGAGGAGATAAATTAATTATTTCAAACCATGAACTATAAAGAAGACTCAAGTTGTTTCCAAATATCAAATTGGTGGATGCACACAAATACCTTTAAGCAAATCTTTAGAGTTGCTTAGACTGGTCTGTTTAGAGTTGTAGGGGCTCTTTCTCAAAGTGGGAAGGGATCTCACCTCCTGGAGGTCCTTATGTATTTCTTTACCCAAGCCTGCAAGATTAAAGTCATGAAAGCCATTGCTTTCACTGGTGTTTTCCTTTGCTTTTCTGCCTTTTGCTGGTGTTGATGTGTGGCTCATTTTCTTTTTAGGGGCGGTTGGCCTTGGCAGGTTTCCCTTCGGCTGAAGTCATCCTATAGAGATGGCAGGCTTCTCTGTGGCGCTACGCTCCTGAGTAGCTGCTGGGTCCTTACAGCAGCGCACTGTTTCAAGAGGTATGTGGCCACCTTTCCAAACAACTCAATCTGACTCTTACCAGTTCTTCCATTCCCTTTATGCTCTACAGCACTTGAGGTATCAGAGCCAGGCTATAAGCTTTCCTTGTCTTTGCCAGCAGCCCTGTGGAAGTGAGAGAAGTGACACAAAGAGCAAAGAGAGCCCTCAGAAAGCCACTTGCTATCCTGATGTTAAAACAAATGCTGGATTGAGGGAAAAGAGAAGGGTTTTGGGGAAAGAGGCAGCCATGTTAGTACTCCCCCCAAGAACATATCAGGGTGAAATCATATCCCTGTAGAAGAGACCTCAGATTATTTAGTTATGAATGTTAAGGGATAGGGCGTAGTTTTAGTGTTTTTGATTCTTTGAGGCTTGGTGCTTTGTGTCTTACAGCTTTCTGTGTGTGTAGCTTCTAGAAAGTCAGGTTGCATCTATTTCATTTTTGTCTTTCGTATATTTAGTCTTGATTATTTTTCTAGTCCCAGACATTTTATCCATCCATTCTGAAGTCTTCTCAGTTCAGAGGGGAGACTACACAGGGAAAATCAACATGCCAGAATCACAGAGCTCATGGTGGCAATTCCCATAACAGAACCCAGCTCTCTTTTCTCATCCAGTGTGCTTTTGTGGACCTTGGTTAATGCCTTTTCCTCAGCATTAATTTTGGTATTTAAAAATGTATAACAATGCTTGGCAAAATATTGATAATTTTTGAGGCAGGATGATGAGAACACAGAGTTTTCATTATACTATTATAATTATGTGTGTTTGAAACTTATCATAATAAAAGGTTTTTTAAAATGTGTAACGTATTTTTGAAAAGTTTTTCCAAGAAAAAATTTGTTTTACATTTTTTCTTACGTGGTATCATATGGTGCATACCTTTGCCTCATTAAGTATTAGCAATCCATCCATGTAGATTTTGTTTATTTACTTTAACTGCCATATGCATTTTAACTGCTGTTAGAAGACTAAACCACAGTTTATTTATTCTCCTACTGATGAATAGTTAGGTAGTTTCCATTCTTTCACTGTTATGTAAACAGTATTGTTGTAAACAACTAGGTGCATGTCTCACTCACTGAGTGTGTACATGTGGGGATATCTTGCTGGGTTCCCTTCAGTGTTGTTAAGTCCTACCAATTTGCCCTTTTAAGCAATTATATTAGTTTATATCACAGCAATATATAAATTCCTCTTTCCTCACATACCCACCTAAACTTAATACTATTAAAATTTGTAATTTTTGACAATCTCAGTTTTAGGGTTTCTTTTCAATTATATTCCCTGGTTAATGTTTTCTTCTTTCATGAATTCTGTGTTCATATTCTTTTCCTATTTTTCTACTGAATTGTCTGTAACTGCAGTTCAAAGTTTTGGGTATAGTTCTGTGCACAAGGTCTTTGTTGTGTGTTGACAAATATTTTTCCCAATCTGGAACATGACTTTTTACTTATTTGTGGTCTTTTTCTTATAAAAAATATTCTAATAAATTTATGTGTCATCTTTTTCTTTAAAGCTTTATAAAAGCTCTGTATTTCTTATTTTTTTAATTTTAAAGATGTGGGGTACAATTCAGGATTAAGTACGTAAGTGATTATTATATAAGTAAAGTTTGGGCTGTCCTTTGTTCCCTGGTGTTTCTTATTTTAACAGTCTTTCCGTAGCTCCATGCAATGAAGATGTTCTCTTATTTTTTTCTAAAAAAAATTTAGTTTTTTTTTTCGTATTTTGATTTTTAATATTTTTCCAGTTTATTTATTTTTATAATTTTACCTTATGATAGAGATGTGGGGTACAAGTAAGGATTAACTACCTAAGTAGGCTACATGCAGGTGAAGTCTGGGCCTCCAACTGGCCCTCACTCCCCCTGGTAGTTGACTAGGTACCACTTGTGTTGTCATGTGTTCCGTGCTCTTCTCCCTCCCTCCCTCTTCTAGCAGTGCCCAGTGACTGCTGATCCCTCCCTTGTGCTAATGTGACTAAAGTTCAGGGCCTACTTATGAGTGAAAACATGCAGTATTTAGTTCTTTGTTTCTATGATAGTTCACTTAGCATGATGGTCTCCAACTCCATCCAATTTGCTGCAAAGTCCATGGCTTTGTTCTTCTTTATGGCTGCATAATACTCCATCATGTATATGTACCACATTTTCTTTATCCAGTCTACTTTTGATGGGCAGTAGGGTTGATTCCATGTTTTTGCTATTGTGAATAGTATGGCAGTAAACATGTGTGTACAAGCGTCTTTTTTACAGAACAATTTATGTTCCTCCAGGTATATTCCCAGAAGAGGGATTGCTGGATCATATGGAAGGTCAATTTTTCATTCTTTTGGGAATTTTCATAGAGGTTGAACTAGCTTGAACTCCTGCCAACAGTGTAGAAGCATTGCCTTTTCTCTGTACCTGCACCAGTATCTGTTGTTTTTTGACTTATTAATGATGGCAGTACTACTGGAGTTAGGTGGTATCTGATTGTAGTTTTGATTTGCATTTCTCTGAGCCTTAGTGAGGCTGAGCATTTTCTCATGTGTATGTTGGCTGCTTGTATGTCATTTTTTGAGAAGTGTCTGTTCACGTCCTTTGCCAACTTTTTAATGGGGTTGTTTGTTTTCTTTCACTTTGTTTGAGTTTCTTATAGATCCTAGATGTTAGACCTTTGTCAGATACAAAATTTGCATCTATTTTTTCCCATTTTGTGGGTTGTCTCTTTACTTTTTTGATGGTTTTGTTTGCTGTGCAAAAGCTTCCAGTTTATTTTTATGTATGTTATATGGTGTGAGGAAGGGACCTTATTTTATCTTTGTTTAATGGATAGTTTCTCCAGCACTTTTTATTGAATATTCCATTCTTTACCCACTGACTTATGTTAATTCTATCATATGCCAAGTTCTCATATATCCTTGTTTCAGGGATCTCTGTTTTCTTCCACTTTTGTATTGCAATAAATATTTATGCAATAATATTCCATGTTCAAGGTGCTGCAGAGGATGCAAATCTATATTTATATAGAAACTACAATATCTGGAATATAATTAAGTGTGGGAGTTCACCTATATGCCAGTTTAATGCATTCCTGTATTACATGAGAGGCATAAACAATACAGATTATATTCATTCATTAACTTAACCATTAATCATTGAGCCCTTGATATTTCTAGGCACATGCTATGTTATTTCTAGGCATATGCTATGAGCTACAGTGGAGGTGATCCTTCTGCCTCAGCCTCCTGAGTACCTTGGGACTACAGGTATACACCACCACATTCGGCTAATTTTTGGATTTTTTTTTTTTTTTTTTTGTAGAGATGAGGTCTTACTATGTTGCCTAGGCTGATCTCAAACTCCTGGGCTCAAGTGATCGTTCCACCTTGGCTTCCCAAAGTGCTGGGATTACAGGCCTCTGTGATCCTTATGTACAGTAAAGGTTAAGACCCACTTGCTTAGTTCATAGACTATGGTCTGGATACTTGAAGAATGATAATTGGGAAGAATAAATGAAGCTGACAGATATGTATCTTTGTCCTGTTCAACATATTAATTGCTAAGCTGAAAAAGAGTACAGATGACAAGTTAACTATATTTTTGGATGCCAGAAGACTGGAAGGGACAAGGTATGTGTTGGAAGGTAGGATCATGATGGCAAAAAATCATGATAGGCTGATTCTAGCAAGCAATATAGAATAAAGATGAAATAAAATATCTTTAGATACAAGAAACTTGGCTTAAATATAACACAAGCAAAAAAGACTCGTGGGTTTTGGTGTCCTACAACCATAATACAAGTCAGCAATGTAATGTGGTTGCTCATGAAATTAATTCAATCTTGGGTATCACTGACAGAACACTGTCCAGAAAAAGCGTTGAAGAGCCCTGCTGTTCTGGTCAACTGTGCTCAAGCTATTGTCAGGGACAAAACTGCTGTCTATCAAACTGGGAGAACTGTGCACAGTTCTGTGTGGCTCACCATGAAAAAATGACATAGTGCTCTAAGAAGGGCAAGCAAAAACGAGACATTCTGTGGAATCAGATTAGATTTGTTGCCTGTTGCTTCAAATATCACCGATGTTAAAGGAAGGTAACATAATTTTTGTTTTAATATAAAAATGCTTTTGTTTTTGATTGTGTATTTTTTATTTCCTTAACACTAGGATGGTTCAAATATGGAGTGGGCTGTATGTGGGAGAAAAGTGAATTCTTTTATGGAGTCTGTTTAAGCAGAGGGAGGTTGGATTCATGAATAGGGAGCAGCTGGTGGTAGAGAACTTCCAATGCTTAGAATCCAGTGGTGAGAAACCAAAAGCCATATTGGAAGGATAGCAGCTATTACCTGGAATATCAGATCTGGGATTTGTGGAGTCAACTTAGTGGAGTGAAGCAGGAAAGGCCTGGAATTTTAGGCTTGTGAATTTCTCTTTCATTTGCTGAGCAATGGGAAACCATTGAAGGTTTTGACCTTGAAATATAATCAAGGAGGAGTTATAGGGGATGAGTCATTTGGAGATGTGTGGGCTAGATCTGAGAGGGTAAGGCAAAGTTATTAATCTAAGGGTCTGTGAATGAGCTTAAAAGTGTATGAAAATGCTTTGCATGTGTATATGAAAATGCTTTGCATGTGTATGTATATACCTTTTTCTGGAGTGACTCAATTTGGTCTATGTTATCAAGTTCCTACCTGCTAAGATAGATAGCTAAGGTAGGAACCAGAGAGAGTGTAAGGAAGAGACCTAATTTTATACTTTTAAAGTGGAGGGAAACACACCAGTCATAAGACTACTATAATAGTAAAGATAGACCATGGGAAAGGAGAGGAAGTGGAGGTAGAGAGGCTGTAAGAGAAATCAGTAGAGCTAGTTCTAGAACAACAGGAGGTTTGCGTGGGCCACCAGGACCAGGGTGACTGTTCTAGCTCTTCCAGTTGTTAGTGTTTAACTTCTTAATTTAACGTCTAGGAGCTTTAGTTTACATGTCTGGAAAATGAAGATAACAGTGTTGCAC